TGCGGCGCCCCGACGCGTCAGGCTGAGGTCGGGCCACAGCGCCCGCCTCACCACGCGACGCCGTCCCTGGCGCCTTGTTCCCGCCATGCTCTCCCACCTCGCCTCTGAGGCCTCTGCACCTCCTGCCCAGGTGTGCCGGGGCCGTGGGGAAAGTAGCTGTGAGGATTGACCCGGAGCAATCGGCATCGTCGCGTCTTCCGTTCGGCACCTCTCCAGAAGCAAATGTGTTGGACTCGTGGCCTTCCTGTTGAAGAGGGTATGTATTTGTTTTTTCGACAGGATGCTCGACGCCGTACAAATCATCGTGTCGCAAACTAATTGCGTTGCAAACCTGAGCCGTGAGATGATTTAACCCAATTTTTGGCCAGATGCGGTTCACTTTTAATTTTGTGCTGCCGTGGAGCCTGGAGGCACTTCCTTTCTAGGCTGGATCTACTGTACTGTTGTTGTTTTGAAGACTACGTGCGATATTTGCAGGACATTGAGTTTTCTCGCTTTATTGGAATCAACCAGAGAAAACAGACCAGTTTGGGTTTTGTTGATAGCGCCTGTGCAGTATCAACCATGAATGAAGTACTACCTACTTTCTCGTTAATTTAACATTTGGTGGCACAACAGTAAAACACTTATGTTTTCAGTGTAGTAGTGGATGGTTTATTTTTGACCAGACTTTTGCTAATCTGGTGTGTTATTCAAAAGTTCCTATAAGAGTTCTTTCTATGAACGCTGAGGTCTTAATCCTATAAAGATTTGCATATGTGTTTAACCTGAAATACCTAAGGGGCCTCATTTTGGTTGCAAAAATTGGTGTAACTTTTCAAGAGGAAAACTTTGTTATTTAACGCTTTGTAATGTTGCCTGTCGTTTTCATGCTTTCCAATAGTTAACATACTCAAATGTATATAGCAACATATATATGCAAGCATACATATAGCAAGATATAGGCCTGTTAAGAAGAAAGGTAAAGGTATGGATAAGATACAGATTTTTGCCATTTTTATTGGGAATGATGTCAAACATTACTACCACCTACAAATACTTGATAAGAAGAATGTATTCCTTTCTCTTTATTTAAATGATCTAACTGCTAATTAAAACTTTGTCTTAAAGAGAAATCTCCACTTCCTGGATTTATCTGATGTGCACAATTGACATGTGGTATTAAACAGCAGCTGCTGCATTTCAGTGGTGAATGAAGTGATTCTTATGTAAACACCATCCTTCATCTGGCCTCAAACGTTGGATACCTACTATCGGGATTCATTTATGAAATCCTGTCAAATCCTTCTTTAGAAGTGGCTGCATTCCAGTGCCAGTGAAATAATTAATGTATGTAATAATTTAATAACTTATAAATAATACTTCTTTACACTACACAATAATCATCATCCTCAAGTATAAAATAATTCTGGTTGATATATCATTTCATTATGTTTCTTAGAGAATTTGGGATTCTTTATGACTAAAGATGTTATGTGGAAACCGAGCTTGATGTGATATTTAATAAGTGTTTAAAAAGTACTTTTATCCTTAGATAGCTACAGATGAGAAGTATGAATAGTTTAATAGGTGTAAAATATAGTAATAATGAAAAATTTTATGTGACTTAATTAGTATTGACATTGGTTTTGTTTCTTGGATAGCTAGAAATCCTAAATGTAGGGCTACCATATATCAACGTTCCCCTTGGATATGTCCACTAATGCGCTGACCAGACTACAGGACATGTGGACATTCTGCATAAATGACTGTTATGTATGCGCAGATTTCTCAAAAGCATATGTGTAGCTACACGGATATGTTGTACATGTGCAGTTCATTTAAGCAGTGGAAATGCACATATTTCTGAGTGGAATTTTCTATAAAGATATAAAATGAAGGAAAAAAAAAGAAAAGAAAAAGAAAGAATGCAAGTGCCCTGTCAGAATATAAATATTTATAAATGACCTAAACAATTAGTAACAATGTTAAGAAATTCAAGTACTCAGAAGTCAGGAGGAAGAGCTTAAAAGATGAGGTTGGCTTATAAGTCAAGAGTTTGAGAATAACAAGCTTAGTTGGGTTTTTTTTTTTTTTGACCTCTGATTTCTGAGACATTATGGTGCACTGCATTCACGTTTTCAGGCTTAAGGTTAGAAAGTGTGCTGGGGGGGTTGTTTGTTTGTTCTAATTAAACCTATATTGTCATGTAGCAATGACTCCAAAAGCTTAGGCATTTAGAATAACTTCAGATACAGTGAGGCTTTCACTTAACATCACAAGACTTGACAAACTTGTTGTTATAACTTCTTGGGGCTGTGTTGTATATGTCTATAGTATTCTGTAAAATGAACATTTTATAGAACTTAGAGCATACTAACAGAAACAAGTAGCTCTATTTTGTTGCATGTTTCTCATAAATAAATTAGGGAGCTGATGAAAATATTTGAGTTCTCAATATGCAACTGAAAATGCGTTCAGACCAACAAACAAAATATTTTGTTAAAAATAGATCCTGTCATTAAAACAGTGTAATAAAATCATATGCTATTGAAATCTGTGCCTGACGGAAGATTTGATTAAGCTGATATTATGGCCTGCCAGGTGAGAGGGTGACAATGAGCACGGACCATTTAGACCTAGATCAACACCAGTATATATGTTCTGTAGACGTATCTTAGCCCTTTCTATGAATAGGGTAATTGATCTGTGCAGCACGTTTTCCGGCTTGTTCAGACCTGACTTACTTTTGACTCTAAATGAACTGTGTATGTATTAATGTGGCGAAAGAAGAGAGTGTGTAATATGTAGATAATGTGATGGGTAGTGTAGGATCAGACCTAGATAAATGCCTGGATAAGGCAAGGAAAAGATAAGATTGTTCCACTGTGTATTGTTTTTGAATTGTTTTTTAATTTACCCCTGGCGTCTGCATATTATAATCTGCTGCACAGTTCTGCATGAGACTGTTTGTCTTTAAAACAGTGACATTTAAAAAAGAAACCATGAAACTCCTTTCACATGCAAGCTGCAGTTCAATGAACTGGATGAATGATCTTTCCACATACCCACGGGCATGCACAGCTGAATATAGATCATCCAGAAAACCTGCCAGCCTTTTATATTGCGATGTGGACACTCCTTCCTCTGTTTGAGCTCAGGTTCTGTTCAGAGAATTACAGTTGCAGATGCTTAGAATACTGTTAAGTGCTTCTGATCAAAAGCAATGACAACAAATAATCTTGTTCTCTTTTTCAGTGAGCTCTGTGAGTGTCCTAATGGGACAGTCTTTGTAAGGTGGGCTTGATACAAAAGCATATGAGAAACGTGGTGGTTGTGTACGTTGTACCCACATCTGGGGGCCAGTGAGAGAACTCAGAAGAACACTGTAGCATGTACTGTTTTTAAAAAAAAAAAAAAGGGAGTTTAGAGTTAGCAAACCTGTATGTCTCTTGACTGCCCAGCTCTTTCACTAGAAAAGGTTGAACCAGAATAGGTTAGACCCATGTAGCTATACTGGCAAACCATCCCTTTACAAACATGCTTTATGCTAGTAACAATGTGAAGCTATTACCAGTGGAGTTTCCTGAGCAAAATCCAGACATGAGTTCTTTCATGCTGCTCTCAGTCCCTCTCTCAGTTCAGGCTTTTGCCAGTGTGGAGTTTGACCTCCAGACATTATTACACAAATACAAGTGTCTGGTCTAGACAACAGGCATAAGACTCGACAAGAGAAGAGGGCCTGTTTGCCTCGCATGTGAAGCCAAGGAGTGCAATGAGCAAAGCACTGTGGGGCTGTGGGATAGGATAGCATGAGAGTAGGGAACAGCAGCGGCCGAAAGCCTGAGGAACCAGAATTTACAGGATTGAGGGGATGCCAGAGTTGAGGGAAAGAAGGATGCGTGGTGCTCTTCTTTGTCCAGACTGCGGTAGGGGACTGAGAAAGGATGTGATGTGAGGCCACTTCTACATCAAATCTGAAGGGGTGCACTGGGCAGTGCTAATGGGAGAGGGAGCTACAGCCCCCTGAAATCCCAGTCCTCAACAAATCTGTCTTGGTGTACAGAGAAGATGGTGTTTAAAGCTCAGAGGAAGCTGTATTGGGGAAAGAGGGTAAGAACGTGATCTAGGCAAGAGAGCCTGGAACCTGGCAGCTTTATTTCATACTCTCCCTACTGGTCCCTTGAACCTACAGGCAGTTCCCCTGTGGTGCAGTAGTGACAATTCTAGAGGAGATGAGCTGCTGGCAACCTTTTTTGACCCAGAGATGTACAGAATTGCTCAAACCTCCTAGTTTTAAATGGTCCCATATTTCAGATGCTAGCAGCTTTCAAGATGGGGCTTTAATGATATAAGCAAAAAGAGTGAATATTTCAGGGAAAAAAAAAAATCCTAGTGTAGCCTTGTCTTGGCGCCTGAGCAGACTGGGAGGGGTGGGGGTGACACTAGAGCAGCAATGGGGGTTTATCTCCCAGCTCCAGAGTTGCTCTCACTTTGTCCCCCTGCACCGGTGGCACAAGGCACAGCAGAGGCTGATGGCAGGGGTGGCAGGGCAGCTGGGGCAGTGGGGCTCGATTGCTGGGCAGGATTTGTATTTCCGTGGCACTGGCTATGTCAGGGGCCTGCCTCAGCGAGGTCCCCCAGGCTGCAAGGACAAAGGGGCTCAAGAGCTTGGAAACAGCAAAGATCAAGGAAAGAGAGAAGCCAAGTTTTAAAAAGCAGTGCATTCGGTGTGCTTAGTCATAGATACACAAATGCAGGAGGGGTGGCAGAGGCCTATTTTCATCCTAAAACTCCCCCTCACGTCCCAGACTTGCTTGGTGGTGTCTGCTGTTGAGATAACATCCCCTTCCCCCACCACCCACAGATTACTGAAGGAGCAGCCCTTGCGGGGGGAAGCAGTTGCCTTGCTCTGCCTGCAGGAGAAATGTCAGGAAGTGTCTGATGGTGGGTGGGATGAAAGGAGGAAGCTGAACTCAAAAGAGAATATTCTAGCTCTGCTCGTGCGAACAAATGCCCCTCTGTATTTTGCTTGATAAGAACATAAGAGTAGCAGGGTCTTCCTGCGCTCAGGGAGGACGAGAGTGGAGCAATCACTTACACGGCTCTGAGCGATTTCATTTGCGCATGCTGTATTATCCAAAGCACTCCATGAGCTGGAGGGTGAAAAAATGTAAACAGCTAGAAAGAAATAAAACTACTATACATAGTTAATAGTATCCTTGTGTAATGGGAATTATCCAGTGTTAATTATAAAGTTAACTTCTGTTTGGATGGTTTTATGGGTGTATATGAAATTTGGACCAGAACTTAAGTTTAGTGCAGTCATACTTTTATTATAATTACAGATCATTATAAATCCATTCTGCATCATCTTTTTTTAAGGCTTTTTTTTCAAAACATGCCAGCAGTCAGCTTTTGCAGTTCTAAGATCCCCAAAGTAAATCTGGTTATAAATACAATGGAGATTGTTTTCATTCATTTTCACCATGCCACCCTGAAGAAATGCAAAAAGAAGCCAGGAACATAGGTAGTGATAAGTACACTGGATATCTAAAATCATACAGTCAATAACAATGATAAAGGAACTTAAT